GGAAGCCTGCTTCTCCCTCTCCCACTCCCCCTGCTTGTGTTCCCTCTCTCGCTGTGTATCTCTCTGTCAAATAAATAAATAAAATCTTTAAAAAAAGAAAAATTTTTTATTTTGGTATAGTCCCAGTAGTTTATTTTGCTTTTGCTTCCCTTGCCTGAGTTATATCCATAACTATGTTGCTAAGGCCAGATGTCCAAGGGATTACTTCCTATATTTTCTTTTAGGAGTTTTATGGTTTCAGATCTCACATTTAGGTCTTTAAATCATTTTGAGTTTATTTTTGTGTATGGTGTAAGAAAGTGGCCCAGTTTCATTCTTTTGCATGTTGGCTATCCAGTTTTCCCAACACCATTTGTTGAAGAGACCGTCTTTTTTCCATTGGATGATCTTTCCTGCTTTGTTGAAGATAAATTGACCATATAGTTGTGGGTTCATTTCTGGGTTTTCTGTTCTGTTCCATTGAACTATGTGTCTCTGTTTGTGCCAATACCATCATCAGGGAAGTACAAATCAAAACTATAAGGAGATATCACCTCACACCAGTCAGAATGGCTAAAATTAACAACACAGGAAATAAGAGGTGTTGGCGAGGATGTGGAGAAAGGGGAACCCTCTTGCACTGTTGGTGGGAATGCAAACTGGTGTAGCCACTCTGGAAAACAGTATGGGGGCTCCTCAAAAAGTTAAAAATAGAACTCCCTTAAGACCCAGCAGTTGCACTACTAGTTACTTACCCAAAGGATACAAAAATACAGATTCAAAGGGTTAGGTTAGGGATTTCATTGAATCTATAGACTGCTTTGGATAGTATGGACATTTTAACAATATTAATTCTTCCAACCCATGAGCGTTGGTGAATCTTTCCATTTGTTTGTGTCATCTTCAATTTGTTTTATCAATGTCTTGTAGTTTTCAGAGTACAGGTCTTTCACCTCATTGCTTAAATTTATTCCTAGATATTTTATTCTTTTTGGTGGAATTTTAAGTGGGATTGTTTTCTTAATTTTCCTTTCTTTTACTTTATTTTAGTGTATAGAAACACAACATATTTCTTTGTATTAATTTTGTATCCTGCGACTTTACTGAATTCATTTCTTAGTTGTAATAGTTTTTTGCTGGGGTCTTTAGGATATTCTGTATATAATATCCTGTCATCTGCTAATAGTGCCAGTTTTACTTCTTTACCAATTTGAATGCCTTTATTTCTCTCTGATTGTTGCAGCTAGGACTTCCAGTACTATGTTGAATAAAAGTGGTGAGAGTGGATGTCCTTGTCTTGTTCCTGATCTTAGAGGAAAGGCTTTCAGCTTTTTACTATTGAGTATGATGTTAGCTGTGGATTTGTCATATATGGCCTTTATTATGTTGAATTATGTTCATTCTATACCCACTTTGTTGAGTTTTTATGATGAACAGATGTCCTATTTTGTCAAATGCTTTTCCTGCATCTATTGAGATGATTGTATGGTTTTATCCTTCCTCTTGTTAATATGGTACAGCACATTGATTCATAGATATTGAACCACCTTTGCATCCCTGAAATAAATCCCACTTGATCATGATGAATGATCCTATTAATGTATTGTTGAATTTGGTTTGCTGATATTTTGTTGAGGGTTTTTGCATCTATATTCATCAGGGATGTTGGCCTGTAGTCTTTCTTTCTTTCTTTCTCTCTTTCTTTCTCTCTTTCTTTCTCTCTTTCTCTCTTAAGATTTATTTGAGAAAGAGAGAGTGGGTCAGGGTAGGGGCAGAGGGAGAGGGAGATATTGAGAATCTCATGCAGACTCCCCGCTGAGCACAGAGCCCAACATGGGGCTTGATCTCATGACCCTGAGATCTTGACCTGAGCTGAAATCAAGAGCTGGATGCTTAGCTGACTGAGCCCAGGTGCCCCTGAAGTGTTTTGTTTTGTAGTATCTTTGGTTTTGGTATTGTAGGGTTATGCTAACCTTGTAGAATGAAATTAGAAGTTTTCCTTCCTCTTCTGTATTTTGGAATAGTTTGAGAAAACTAGGTATTAACTGTTCTTTTTTTTTTATTCATGAAAGTCAGAGAGAGAGAAAGAGGCAGAGGGAGAGAAGCAGGCTCCCCGCCTAGCAGGGAGCCCGATGCGGGACTCGATCCCAGGACCCCGGGATCATGACCTGAGCCGAAGGCAGACGCTTAACCATCTGAGCCACCCAGGCACCCCGGTATTAACTGTTCTTTAAATGTTTGGTAGAATTCACTTGTGAAGCCATCTGGTCCTGGACTTTTGTTTGTTGGGAGTTTTGATTACCATTTCAATTCCATTACTAGTAATTGGTTCACATGGCTTTTCTAAGCTGTTTCTTTCCCCCTCATTCCCAGTGGGGGCAAATTGAGTTTTGGAACTAATGAGATTGACATCCTCAATGGAATGACTCAGAAAATGGTACTTTTTTGTTGACCTGGAATGGAAAACAGAAAGCAATAATCTCTCTCTTTTTTTTTTTTAAGATTTTATTTATTTATTTGACAGAGACAGTGAGAGCAGGAACACAAGCAGGGGGAGTGGGAGAGGGAGAAGCAGGCTTCGCGCTGAGCAGGGAGCCCGATGTGGGACTCGATCCCAGGACTCTGGGATCATGACCTGAGCCGAAGGCAGATGCTTAACGACTGAGCCACCCGGGCGCCCAATAATCTCTTATTAAAAAAAAAAAAAAAAAGTGGCTAGTAATTTTCCTTATTAAAATACATAGGGTTCAGAAAACAATTAGCCCTGTTCAAACCACTTGAATAATTCAGAGTTTTGTTGACTCCCGGTCATCCAGGATAGGAGCTTACTTTCATGAAGAACATCTTATACGACATAGGTGTTAGATTAATAATAATGGTTTAATAGAAATATCAAGTACTTTAGCCATAAAGGAGACTTTTAGGGAAAAGGATTTTAGAAGGATCCGGAAATTTTTACATTTTCTTCAGGACAAATGGAATTTTTCTTTTTATCACAGCTCCTTGTTATTCTCAAATAAACAACTCGGATATCACTTTCTAAAGCCTACATCTCTGCATTTGGCAGTTTTGACTGTGTCACAAGCATGTTGCTGGCACTGATAAATTGGCTGAGGGAAGCACCAAGAGGGAGAAGAGGTGGCTTTGCCAGTCAACTTTATTTTATTTAATTTATTATAATCTCTATTTTATTTTTTTCCCAGAGAACAGTTTTTGGTCAGTGTTTAAGGACTTAGCTCCTTACATGGGCTTTGGTGGAGGTTTTGGGGCAGCCGGGTCTAAATCGGGGTGGAGGTGTTTGATTCTTCCCTGTTTGGCAAGAGCGACCCCTGACTACCTTGCTGTGAATTTTGCCAGTCAACTTAAACATTCCTGTTCACATTTATTTAACCAGTTGTTACCATGCAAACACTTCTGGTTCCCTCTATGAGAGTTCTTTTCCTACTTTAATGCTTCCTTTGATTTTATTTATATAGGGAAGCAGAGGTAAAAAGAGAGGATGAATTAGAGGACTGTTCAAAAACATTCCTCTTTAAACCTTATAATTAATTTTAGGGAGACCTTTGCAATGTTGAACACAGCTCTGAAATCAGTGAAATAATTTTGAGGACCTTTGTTCTCTATAGGGGAATTTTATAAGAAGTATTTCAAATTCAAACTTTTTTTTTAACCGTAGGGGGAAAACAGTTAAGTTATATGTTTTTTAGTATTCGGTATTTCAGACTTTCTTAGGGGCAAATTTTAAAACAGATTTGGGGGACGCCTGGGTGGCTCAGTCGGTTAAGCATCTGCCTTCAGCTCAGGTCATGATCCCAGGGTTCCGGGATTGAGTCTCTCATCGGGCTCCTTGCTCTGCGGGGGGCCTGCGTCTCCTCTGCCTCTGCCTCTCTCTCTTTCTGTCTCTCATGAATAAATAAAAAAATCTTTAAAAAAAAAATAAGACCAATTTGGGCTATCTAAGTTCTTTCTTTCTTTTTTTTTTTTTTTTTGAGAGAGAGAGAGCAAGAGTGAAAGAGTACAAGCAGGGGGGGTGGCAGAGGGAGAGGGAGAAACAGGCTCCCCGCTGAGCAGGGAGCCCGACATGGGGCTCCATCCCAGGACTCTGGGATCATGACCTGAGCCTAAGACAGATGCCCAACCAACCGAGTCACCAAGATGCCCCTATCTAAATTGTTCTTAAAAAAATTGTTCTTCTCGAGTTCTTGTGAATGTTAACAGAACACATGAATTCATGTTAATTAGATGTTCAGAATCGATTAAAGCTAGTGTGTGTTTGGGGGGATACCCAAATTAAGGAGTCAGGAAACTCTTTCCTGATGACGTGGCCTCTAATTTTTTGCATTCAAGTGAAACTCCTAGTTCATAATTTCAGAGCATGGCTGTTTGGGCACTAAGACAAAGTAGTAGTAAGTTAAGCTTATGACAGTGTGTGCCTGCCAGCTGGATAGGTATAGATCTCTGATTATCCACGACCGAAGTTTTGTCAGACAGAGTTCAACTACACATCCTGAAAGTGTTTGTTCAGAAGCTGAGTGAATCCATATGACCTTTATATTTTTAAAAAATAAATAATACAAGTACATGACAAAAAAATTTTTTAAGTGCAAAATGGTATACAATGTATATTCAGTGAGAGGTCTTCCCTTCATCTGACCTCGTTTGTGCTCCCCCACTCCTTCATCTTGGGGACAGCATTAGCAGTTTTTGGCATGTCCCCAGGGGGTAGTCCATACATGTACAAGGGTGGATTATCTCTCTTTTTTTCTTGACATAAATGATTGCACACCATTCTATACAGTGGGTTTTTTACTTGAAAACATATCTTGTTGTTTCCTATCAGTACATTTAGATTTGCTTTATTAAAATAGCTGCATGGCATTCCATCCTGTAAGTGTACTTAGTTTATTTAACCAGTCCTCGACTAATATCTAGGTTGTTTTTAGTCTTTTGATACCACAAACAATGTTACGGGAAACTTCCTTGCACATACTTCCTTGTGTGAGTATTTCTTAAAGATCCATTCTTAGAATTGCTGGGTCAAAGGGTATGTGCACTTCTGGCATTTTAGACAAAAAGTGTAATTTTATTAGTCTTTTTATCTTGTAAAACTTTTTTTTTTTTTTTTTTAAGTAATCTCTACGCCCAGTGTGGGGCTTGGACTCCTGACCCTGAAATCAAGAGTCACGGGATCTACTGACTGAGCCAGCCAGGCACCCCACTTGTAAAACATTCTTACAACCTTTTTTGGGTGGGGGGGAAGGAAGAGCAGAGGGAGAGAGAGAATCTTAAGGAGGCTCCGCACTGGGCGATGTGGGGCTTGATCTTACGACCCTGAGTTGGACACTTAACCGGCTGAGCCACCCAGGCACCCCCATTCTTAACAACTTTTGGTAAGGAATGGGATAAAATAGTTATATTACATTTAACCAAGAGTGCCATTTTTTCTGTTGTTGACTGCTGTTTGACAGGAGGAAACTTACTGGATTTGGAAGAAGGTGACACTTTATGGTTGAGGGTGAACTAGAATATAAAACCTATATTACTGATAATTATGAAAGTATTGCTGGATTGATTCTGGTTGCTTGTATTTCAACTTGATCTTTTCATTAATGTAGTTAAATGACTGAAACAACCTGGTGGTATGGTCTTAGAGAGCAAAACTGTTTTAATATTAACTGCTTCTGTATGGGTCTTAAGTTTTCAAGGATTAAATACTGTGCAGCTCACCAGGTATAACTGACCCACTCTGTTTCCTGCCCTAATTATGTTCTGTAGGCACTGGAAGCAATAGAGCTTATAGTTTGCTGACTAAAAGTTTTGATGAGAAAGTTGGAATCTAGGATCGTTTTTTCTTTCTTGGAATAATACATTCCTGAGATTTCAGAGAAGACCAGACTTCTTGTATTTATTAGCTCTGTATGTAACTAATATAGAAATAATCCCTTAGGATACTAAAAATAATTGTTTAAAATTTTATCATGAAATATTTCTGCCTAAAATTATTTAACTATAACCTTTTTTTTTATTTTTTATTTTTT